TCTGTGTTAAGGTAAGGCATGTTATTCGCAATTATGTGTTGTGGCTGGGTTGTTATAGGTCTGCGTGACTCTCGATGTTTTAGGCCTAATTGAACGGAGGAATTATGGTATTCTTCTGTAGCCTGACGACGAGTAACGACGAGTACGTTAACCGTTGTTCATGTGAACTCAAAGACAGCCGGATGCTTTGTTTATAGACTATTTGTGGGTGGCTGTTTGTTGTTTCACCTATCAATTCGTGTCGATAAAGTATAATAGGATAAATCCTGTATAGTGATTTATCTTATATAGTGCTTGCATAAAGCAAGCAGCGCATACACTTGTAGCTGTTATGTATCTTTGTAAGACATTGTAACATTGTAACCTCTTTTGAGGCACGCGCAAGCACACGAATCCCGCCCCCCCATTATAAAAAAAAAAACAAGTGGGCTCCCCCACTTGCACACGAACCACCCCCCACCCCGTTATAAAACAAAAATCAAGTGGGCTCCCCCAAAGTCCACGGTATAGTTCGAACACTGGGTCCAGGGGCACATACACACACACACACACACACACACACACACATATACATATATAGTAATATGGTACCAAATAATTACCATATTCATATACTATGGTATTTTCAAGATAATTCAGGCCATACTATGGTATTAGAATTGGACAGCAATCATGGAAATGATGACTGATTTTATTATTATTATTTCTAATAATATTATAACATTTGTATAAATGCTTATTAATTCTAATACCATTCAAAATAACAATTATTATTATTACTGTTTTGTTTTGATAAGGTAATACAATTCATAACCATTTATAATAATATTATAATATTATTAGAATGTATAATAATAATAATATCCAAATAACCACAGCTGTTGTTGTTATTAGTGCAGTGGTTATATTGACATGGTAATACAATTAATAATAATCATCATTATTATTATTATTGCTGTGGTTATATGGACATTGTAATAGAGTTTATAACAATATATTCTGCTATTATTAAAAGACTATAACAATAATATTAGAATGTAAAATATAAAACAACAACAACATGATAATAATCTCCAAATAACCACAGTTATTATTATTATAAATTATATTACCATGTCAATACTGGTTTTAAGTATACTGGTTTTAACTACAAAATGTTTCCCAACATGTTATCCCTTGGATTGACCAGAGGTCATTTCTGCAAGTCACTGCGGTCTCTCACTCACCCCTTCAGCAGGGAAATGGTCCGGCTCTGCCTCCTCGTCCTCCACTAAGGGAACCGTGCGGGCCAGACTGGCACTTAACGCTGACAGTTTCTGGAAGCAAATGCAGAGATGGATGTCTAAAAACAAACTGTGATATTTGGCACAATTTAATGTTGATATGAAAAGAGAAAAAGCATTAGTCAGTACCTCAGAATAGCTTTCTGATTCCAGGGCATAATCTTCTTCACACTCTGATTTGAGGTTGAACTCTCCTTGTCCATCAAGCTAACAGAACCAGAATAAAATAACAGATTCAATTTCCGATTGAAATGTATTGGAATTTTTTCCTACTGAATATAAAAAAAGGCATTTAATGGAAGCACATTTACACATTTTGTGTGTGATACCTTGGGCGGGTAGACAAGGTTGAGAGTCTGGTAAAGGCGGAAGTTGACAAATCCAAGCAGCGTTGTGTAGAGTTCTGTAAATGTGGCCATAACTCTGTAATCCACATCTGTAGGGTGCTGAGGGGAGCCGGAAGAGGTGTGTTATATTTAACTGTCATCTATAGAAAAGAATCTATAGAAAGACCTCAGCATCCAAAACACTACAAAAATTAAAACACTGAACCAGAAGAAATGATAGTGATAAAAAAAGACCAAAGAGCCATTAAAGCTAGGAATGGGCAATATGACCAAAATCTTATTTCACGCTATGAGAAATCTTATTTCACGATAACGATACATATCTCAATATGGCTATATTTTAGCTTTATCTATAGCTTTATTTTATTTTTGTTATTAAATATAAGAACAAAGAAGCAAATTACAAACAACAGGACCAACACAATAGAATAAACATATACTAACAAAAACTTTTTTAGCTACAGTAGGTTCATGTAGTAAGAAATGCTAAAGAAACTGAATAATCAAGTGTATAACTAACACACGGCATCGACAGCCGTCATCACTGTATAGAAAATATGAACTGATTCGTAATAAAGATAGAAAAGTGATTCAATCCTTCAATTCAGTCTTTTTTTGCTTGATTAACAGTAATGATGACACAGGCAGCAGCAGGTATATTAGGCAGCTGTCACTTTAAGACCAACTGCACAGATCCAATATACTGACAAACCTGCTTTCCATGTGTGATACATAAGTAAAATTAATTTTAAAAATTCAACTATTTACTGACCAAGCTTGAAGTTTACAAAAGACACATTTAGACTCACATCATGGGCAAACTGATATGGTACGATCCATGTGATGGTTTGTCCCAGGACCTCTGCCTAGTAGTAAATGCCCTTAATGGAAAGAAACACCTGAAGAAACAAAAATAAAATCTTTAACAGTCACAGACGTGGTTGTAAATACATAGCTGTAACATTCATGAATCATTTTAATTAATTTTTTAAAATGCACACTTTTCATAGCATATGTTTACAGTACCTTTCTCAGGGACCGTAAGTCAATAATGTAGTTCAACCATTCAACGCCGAGTCTCCGGCACAGCTGAATTGTCTGAACGTGGCATTTTCCTGTGCGAGCGAACGTAGAAAACAGGAAACACATAGAGAGGGCATCATCTACATCTCGGAGAGCATCAATGAACGTGGGATACCTGGAAAAACAAATTTATTTTAGAAACAGTTTACGAGACAGTGACAGACCATTCACTGAAAAATGGAGGAAGAAAGCAAGTTATTTAATGTGGCAACTGAACAAAATATTTTAGCACAATTTGAGCTAAAGAAGCTAAATTTAGTGCCAGATAGAGGTGATTTGACATATGTTATGGAAATCTAATTTTAACTAACTGTTTTGGAGATTTCCTTAAGTAGGAAAACAGGAAAGAAAGCTGCACTTGTCAAGCTATTTCATAAGCGTTTTCAATTGAAATAGTTATACAGGTGCCCATAAATTTGTATTTTTATCAGCAATGATGCATCAAACTGCTCGAAAGTGACAATAAAGACATTTATAACGTTATAAGATTTCTATTTCAAATGAAAGTTGTTCTGTTAAAATTTCTATTCATCAAATAGCAAATCAGCATTAGAATGATTTCTGAAGGATCATGTGACACTGGAGACTGGAGTAATGATGCTGAAAATTCAGCTTTGCCATCACAGGAATAACTTACATTTTACAATGCATCCAAATAGAAAATAGTTATTTTAAAGTGTAATATTTTTTCAGAATATTACTGTTTTACTGTATTTTTGCCGCTTGGTAAGCATAAGAAACTTGCATCTAAAGTAGTGCTGGGCGGTATGACCAAAAATTTATATCACGGTATTTTTCAAAATTATACCAGTTTCACGGTACATGACGGTATATTTTTTCCATGCATGACCGGGTGTTTACCATATTTTCTACTGATTGAGAGGAAATACTGCAGTATACTGACTTAGAATGCCCTATTTTACTGTCATGTTGAGTGAATATAGTCAAAAAATACCACACTAAATAGTGACTAAACACGACCCCTTTTAATACATGTTAACCAGGAGTCACTCTGATTTATAATCGTGGCATCGTCTGATAAAATCAACATGCATCTACACTAAAGAGCGGCTATGCAGTTGTTTTGGCTGTATTACTTTTTTGTCTCATGCAGCGCACTGCCTGCGTCTGAGTAACAAACAAAAAAAAAAGTGCATGTAATATTAACAGACGAACTACGCTCATATTTATAATTCCAAACAATTAATAAGCGACAGGTGCTAGGAAACACTGTTATGTACTCATTTACTGAGGAGTTGGCTGCGGTGCGGCAAACTGAATGCGCGGCTTCTCTGCCGCTCACTGCACAGAACAGACGCCGAGAGAGGTGACACTTCTCCGGGAAAGTCAGACCTCGCGTTCGCGGGACAGCACTGGCGAAATCTTCCAACTGAACCATAGCTAAGATTTATCCGTGACACTGGAGACTGGAGTAATGATGCTGAAAATTCAGCTTTGCCATCACAGGAATAACTTACATTTTACAATGCATCCAAATAGAAAATAGTTATTTTAAAGTGTAATATTTTTTCAGAATATTACTGTTTTACTGTATTTTTGCCGCTTGGTAAGCATAAGAAACTTGCATCTAAAGTAGTGCTGGGCGGTATGACCAAAAATTTATATCACGGTATTTTTCAAAATTATACCGGTTTCACGGTACATGAATATTGTCAAAAAATACCACACTAAATAAGTGACTAAACACGACCCCTTTTAATACATGTTAACCAGGAGTCACTCTCATTTATAATCGCGGCATCGTCTGATAAAATCAACATGCATCTACACTAAAGAGCGGCTATGCAGTTGTTTTGGCTGTATTACTTTTTTGTCTCATGCAGCGCACTGCCTGCG